CAGGTGGACCTCAGAGAACAAAGCTGGTCACCCCCTGCCTTCTGCAGGTGGGGACACACACAGCTTTACAGTAGCCCCATGTCCCTGCATCCCTCTCTGCCTGATTTGGAAAGAGGGGCTCTATGATGGAGAACTGCTTGAAGACCATAATGGCAAGACAGGCTCCCCTTTGTTTTTCACTTTCAATGATGCTGAAGTAATGAACTGCAACTGGCTTCAGTGCTTTTGTGTTATTTGGAAAGGTGTGAGACACAGGGCAGGGGTGGGGACTAGAGCCATGCGGCTCCTGACTTGTAGAGATGTGCACTATCCAGAGCCCTAAGGAAGCAGGGCTGCTCTCAACCCAGCTCTCAGCAGCCCAGCTGAAAGCAACTGCTATATTTTGACCACATCTCTACCCCTCAAAATCATTGACCCTGACCCTGCCAGGGTGCTGTCAGGGTGGAGGTATAATACACCACCACGTTGCCTGGAAGCTTAGAGCTATCCCCGGGTGACTCTAACTGCATTCAAGCCTGATGGAAAAGAAGTGAAAATCTGGCTTCCAGCCGGCGTGTGATCACTCAAAGGGAGGAAACACCCTGGAAGTCCATGTGACGGTGAAAAAAGAGTAACTGGAAATTAAGGCGGTGGCACAGGGGGGACTTGTACAGCGTGATCCCTGAGATGGTGGAATAAACGACGTCCTGTGGGCAAGTGGTGTTCCCGGGTCTTGTCTGTTATTTCAGACTGTATCCGGAGGGCAGATAAATGCCAGGCCCACTTCTAATTAAGGAAACTGAGGAAGGGAAATGTGAGTGGCTCATCTCGGAGGCAATCTGTTGGGAGGAAATGCAGCCGAAGGCTTCTCAGCTATCCCAGGCACAGCCTTGGATACCCAGCCCAGATCCAGCCTGGTGAGGTCCCCTGCTCTTGCTGCCTTGCTTGAGTTACTCTGATCTGGGAGCCAGTGCCAAGTATCTGGTGGGGAACCCATGCACGAGTGGGATGAACAAGATGACCTCACGGGTATTTTCCTTCCCTCTCACACTTCTATGACTCAAACACCCCACAGAGCTGGAGCTGCTGCCCTGGAGAGGTTTGGTTCATGCAGCAAGACCTCGGTGAGCTGGTCAAAGTCCTCTCCTCTCTAATGGCAGATGCTTGGAGGGCAGAGAGAGCTTAGCTCTGCGCTGCAGAGAGCACCATAGGTGTTCTCTCACATGCAAAGCCATAGAGAGGGAATGGGAGCCCCAAGCAAAAGAGATGCTGGTTTTCCTTCAAAACAAACCCTTAAATGAGGATTGTGGTGAGGGCTCCCCTCAGGAGGGGGGAGCCTCTGGAGGGATGCAGGCAGTCTGAGCCCTGCTAAAGAACTGAGTCATGGAGAAGGAAAACTTGAAGTCACCCTCCAGACTCCTCTGTGGTCTGAAGAGCTAGGGAAGAGTCTGACAGGGCGGCTGCAGCAGGCTGTGTGTCTAAGGATGACCTGCATGGCTGTCACGGGTTGGTGTCTCTACTGGCACTGGGAGGCAGGGCTCACCCTAACAGGAGGCACAGGATGCCAGGATCTTTGCTTGGATCCTCACAGATCACCCTCCCAACTGCTTTGCACTCAGGAGCACATTACAGAAGCACTATGGTGGGGTTGGGGTAAGGGAGAGGAAACAGAATTTCTGCTGTTGCCACAGCAGAGACAGACCTGGTGACAACCACTGCTTGACCAGCATTAGCATCGCACCTTGCTATCTTCTTTTGATCCTAAAGAAGATGGTATGATGCTGGCAGCAGCACCATTCCCTGGTGAGGTTATGGCCCTTTGAAACTGTCACTTGAAACGCCAGACTCCTCAGCTGCTTGGCAGCTTCACTCTGCGTATGGTGTGCCCCCTCCATCCTGGATATAAAACACCCTTCTGAAAAACTCTCACTTAGAAAAGCCTAGCACATGCCGGTATGTCCACCAGCACTGCGCCTGTGTAGCACTGCCCTCTGCTGTCGGTGGCTATGAGTAGAAACACCTAGCTTTTGTGTCACCCCAGGGACTGCTGGAAAGGCACAAAACTGCCCCAGAAGGATGCTGCACCCAGGACTGCTGCATGATCCCTCGGCATGAGAAGTAGCACCTGCCGGCAGCAAAGCCCTGGAACAGTCAATGCCTGCTTGGGCTTCCCCTTTCCCTTGGCTGAAAGCAGAAGTGGTGACTATTTTTGGTGCTGTCTCACTTCGGAAAGAGTCGTGCATGCCCCAGAGCATCACCCTGGCCAAGGCACCTTGCTCTGGGCAGAGGAAATGAGTAACGGCGAGGGTCACACTGCCGTTCCATGACCCAGCTCCAGCTGTGTGCCCCAGACCTCTGCCTTGAGGCTGCCTGGTGTAATAGGAGTTTCCTTCCACATGCTGGGCACACCGTGGGAACACGCATGAGGAATGAGTCTTAAACTGTCTTTTCCAGCAGAGAAACACTTAAGCAAAAAGCCTCCCAGTGATATATATATATATATATATATATATATATATATATATGTAACTTTGTCCTCTCCTCCATCCACAGTCCTATATTGCCTTTCCTTAAGCTGGACGAGCTCTGGGTGGGAGGATAAGAACACCAAACTGGACCCCAGAGCTGGCCCTCATGTTCAAAACTCTCCACAATGAAAGGCCTCTAGATGGGGCTTTAATGCAATATTGCTGCTGGCCTCTGCCAGCTTGCCATCGCTCCAGAACCTGGGAGCTGCTCACTTTTCAGCACCCATGGGGGCAAACGGTGTTGGTAATATGGTACCATTTCACCTCAGCCATTGGGGTAAGGGCATTGAGATATTCGCAGACTCTGGTGAATCGCGTGGATTTGAGGAAGCTCTTTGTTGGGTTGTATTTGACACTTCCCCCCTCCTGGGTTTGTGCATATGGATGCACACACAGTGCTTTTACACAAGGCTGTTTTGCAAAGGTTCTGTCAGGGATTGGGCAGAGATATTTTACCTATTAAAAACTGAAGCAGCCCCCCTGCCTCCCCCCCCCCCTTCCCCCCTGTTTTTATTCTGCAATAATAATAAATAAGTGGAACCCAAAGAGTTTACATGGTTCTGGGAATGCTGGAAATACCCCAGCTCATGGTCAGTGGTGAGAATAAATGTACCAAGCTCCCAGTGTCACTCCAGGGGCTATTCCAAGACAAAAGGTTCATCCCCATTACCCCACCCACTGCATGGTTCCTTCCATAGAGTATGGGGATCAGAAACATAAACAGCCTTGCCATAATTGTCCAAGGGTATCCCTGTCTCATCATGCACCCCGTTGTCACCTTTGCAGAGCTGAATACCTTAAACCCCTGGGGACAGAGGCTTTTGATTTCAGTGACACATACCTACGTGTCCTCCTGTTTCTGTCCCTGTGGGGAACATGGGCAGCTCAGCAGCGTGACACACACACACACATGCTCAGGAGGGAAAACTTTTTGTTCTTGGGTGGCAGCAGGTGCAGAAATTACCTCGAGGATGACGATGAGTGACGTCAGCTGACCTGGAACAGCGCTGACACCGGCACCAGCCCCAAAGGGCTGACATTTAGGGCATTAACTACTTCCCAGCTGGAGTGTCATTGTCCTGTCTGTGCTTTGGGGTCTCTGTGCTCCCCTCCACTGCGCTGGTGGTCGTTGGGATGTGTCACTCTCGCACAGGGCTCAGAGTGTGTGTGTGCTTGGAGTGCATGATGCCCGTGCCTTACCACATCCAGCCTTTGCATTACTTGCATGCTGCGATCAGCCCTTGCCCACCTTGCCTTTGCACAGCTGTCTAGCCCTTGAAATATTGAGCAGCATGTTTAACACTTGGACAGCCATCCAGCCCTTGCACAACTGCCCCATTCTTGTATGATGGATCAGCATTTGCACCTGCAGCCTTTATGTGACCACCCAGCCACTGCACATTTAATGTTGGCCTGACTGATTGGTGCCTGCATGTCTGGTCCATGCACAGCTGATGAGCCTTTGCTTATCCAACTCTTGCACAACTTTGCAGCTGCCCAGATGTGGCACATCTACCCTTTGTACAACCGCCTGACCCCAGCAAAGATGTCCATCCCTGGCACATCAGCCCTTGCACAATTATCTTGCCCTGGCATGTCCAGCCCTTGCATTCCCAGCACTGGCATGGCCACTTCTTTCACATTCGATCCTTGAACAACTGCCAATCTCAGGCATATCTAGCCCTTTGTATGATTGCCCTACTCTGGCAGATCTGCTCTTGCACACCCAACTCTTGCACGACAGCCCAACTCTCCAGATGCGACACATCTACACCTTACACAAATGTTTAACCTTTGCATGGCTACCCTCTCCTGGCAGATTCAACCCAACTCTTGTCAGCACAGAGCTGACACAGCCAGAGATTCCGTATGTGGCTGTTGCACACCTGGCTTCCCTAGCATATCCAGCCCTTGCACACACAGTGCTTGCACAACTGCAAGACCCTTGCACAGCTTCCTATCCCTGGCACATCCAGCTTTTGCACAAGCATCCCTTTCACCACTGCCCATTTCTTCCCAGCTGCCCATTTGTGGCACAAGCAGCCTTTTCACATCTGGCCCTTACACGACCGCTCAGCTGTGGCACATGCATTCCTTGCACATCTGGCCCATGCAGGACTACCCAGCTGCCCAGCTGTGGTACACCTAGCCCTTGCACAGCTGCCTGTCCTTTCCACAGCTGCCCATCCCTGTCACTCCCAGCCTGTGCACGTCCGGTCCTTGCCCTCCCGGCAGTGTCACACGCCCACACCCGGGGACGCCAGTGCCGGTCCCAGTCCTGACCCCGATCCCGATGCCGGTGCCGGTGCCGGTGCCGGTGCCGGTGCCGGTCTGCTCCCGCCCGGCTCTCCCCGCCCCTCCGCACCGCCCTGCACCGCCTCCCGGGGGCGGGTCCCCGCCTCCCGCCCCGCCTCCCCGCCGCTGCTCCGCCCCGGCCCGCCCGCCGCCGGCCGGGCGCTCGCTGCCGGCTGCGCTATAAGAAGCGGCGCGGGCGGCGGGGCCGTAGCGGGCGCGGTGGGGGAACGAGATGAGCAGCGCCGGCGCCGCTGCAAGATGCTGGATGGACACGTCCTGCTGGGATGGCTCTCCTCCTGCGCGCTCCTAGGGCTGCTCGCCTGCGCCCCGCGGCCCTCCGCCGCCTACTTCGGGTAGGTGCCCCGCGCCCGCAGCCCTGCTCTTGCTTCGCAACTTTGCCTTTAGTGGATTTTGTCCGTTTCTTTGCACCTTGTCCGTCCCGTCCGAGCTGGGGATGCTGCTGTTCGCCTGCTGACAGCCTCCGTCCCTCGGTGGGTGCGGGCATCCCCTCCCGCCGGCGCTGACAACAGCTCCGGGTGAGGCACCGGGCAGCGCCGTCCCGCGCTGTCCTGCCGCGGATGGTCTCCAGGGTTGCAGCTTGCTCGAGACTGCCGAGCTCTGTCCCGGGGCCACGGGTACAAGCCTCTAAGGGCAGGGAACGGACTGTCTCGTTCGGCCCTTTCCCGGCGGCGGCGGCCGGGAGGAGACCCGTGGTGAGGTGGCTCCACCGTAATGTGACAGACCCGAAAAAACTTTTTTCCTCTAATTTAAGCTCATACTTCAGCATCAGGTGCTAGGAAGCGAATCCAGGCATTATCCCGACGTCTTTATTAGTTGTTTGTTTGGTTTTTTTTGGAGGGGTGTGCATGGTGCTGTCACCAGCCCGGGACGGGACAAAACCTATTCTCGAAGGAGATGAGGGTCCCGTCCGGGTTTGGCGCGGAGCCGCTGCATCCCGCCGTGCTCACCTGTGCGCAAGGAAGGGGCGCGGCCGGCAGGGGGCGCTACCAGCCCGGCCCGCACCTCGCAGGTGGATGCCGCTCCCTCACCATCACCCGTGCCGGGACCCCCTTATCCCCATTCCTTGAGTTGTAGGAAGCCAGATAAACGCCGTCACCCACCCTCTTTTAAGCTCCCTGCAACCAGAGCGTCATTGTGAAGCCGTAGCCTTGTAATGGGTCTGCTGGCTTCCTTCTGTGCAGCCCTGCTCTTCTGGTTGGGCATCAGTGTAGCTGCCTCTTCGCTTGTCCCCCCTTTTGTTAAAAAGAAAAAAAACAACAACAAAAACCCCAACCTCAAACCCCCAGAATCTTGTTCCAAAATAGGGTCGGTTTGCTAGGGGAGTGGGATGCGAGCACCTGATGATGAGCTTTCAGTATAAGTTCACTCAAGAGTGAGGATTCTCGCTGCTTTTTGGGCTGCAGTGTTGTGACCGCTGGAAGGAGCCACTGGATCGGCACTGGAGAACGCTTTACCAGACCTGAGGTTTCCCCCCCTCTTTCCAGTAAAACAAATCCTGGTGTTGAGGCTTGTCCACCGCTTGTGGTCTGGCAAAGTTTTCCAAACAGTGCTACTTAAAATCTTCTGTTTCCAACTCAAGAACCATTTAACTTCCTGCTGCTGGGGCTGGTTTTCTGAGGAAACAGTCTCTCCTATGCATAGGTTTTTAGGAAAAACCCTCTTTTCCCCCAGCAGCACACAGGGCTGTGCTGAACACGTTAGCTCGTGTGTCTGCCGGAGACCACCAGCACTGCAGTTGTACTGTGCCTCAGGGACTGACAGGGCTTGTAAGGAGCTTGGCTGTAGCTTTCCTGTTAATCCATGCAGTGCTCGTATCTGCTGTAGGGCAGCAGGTAACTCATTCCAGTTGCTCCTGAGATTTCTCTTCTGGCCTTGTGTGGCTGGTGTAGGTATCAACTTGAGAGCAAACAGGTCAAGCCAAGGGAGTTGTACTGCTAGGTTTGTTCTGACTGCTTTGGGTTATTCTCTTGGTCTCAATACAACTGCTGTTTCTGATTTGAGACTCCCTCTCTGGCAATAAGGAGGGGAGAAGAGATGCTGCCAGAAGTGCACCCAGCCAGATGTGCAGTCCAACTGCTCCAGGGCTGCTGTGGTGCACAGTGAAGTTTGCTTATGCAAAGCATCCTGTTGTCTGGTAAGAGCCACAGTTGAAGGAGCAGCATCTGCTGCTAATCTCCTCTTTGTTCTTCCAAGAGGCCTAAAGCAGAGATTGCACTTGCTGAGCTGCTGAGGTCCTGGGGGAATGGGTGCTGCTGAGGTCCAGGGGGAGTGGGCAGTGCTGAGGTCCAGGGTCCCTGCTAATCCCTGGTGTGTGTGGAAGAGCAGAGCCCTTCTTGCTGTGGGCTTCTGTATATAAGGAAAGAAAAAATACCTGCTAAAAGCTGTATGATCCTGCAAGTGCCCTTTGAAGGTGGGTATTAACCCTTCTATGCTTGGAAAGGTAGTAAAGGTAGGAAAAACTGCTCCATATGAGGAATCATATCTGTTCATTCGAATACAAATCATTCCTAAAAACCAGGAGGCTTCACCCTTTGTTCAGGGGCTGAGCTGAAATACTGAAGTGGGCTCAGTTAATGTGGCACACTTTCTAGGCAGGGGAAGGGATGCTCCTTCAGGTCCAAGGCATCATCAAAGCCATCCCGATGCCTTTTTGTGGCCTGCTAGACCCTCTGCTCTCAGTGTTAATATCACTGTTGCAGGAGTTGGGGGGGTACAGAGTGTGATGGGTGGCTGTGTTAAACAGATGTCACACTGTAGCTGTAGCTTATCTGCTCTGTTCCACAGTCTCGTAGGGGATAGGGACAGCTGTGGATGATCCCTTCCCCCTTCATCCCTAATGTCTTATTTCAGGGAAAGAATTTGGTGTCTCTAAATGTGTGGCCTGGTGGGGAATTAATACATGGGGACAGAAGTTGGGCATGGTTACATGATAACAAGATTGTGTCAGCATGTAGTTATGTCTGTGTCTGTCCCACTGGGGCAGCTAGTGAGTGGGAGGGATGCTGGGGTAGGAAGACCATGGCTGGAGGCTGCTGCTTCTCTGTACGTCTGCATCTGGGGTTTGGGGTGTGTGTAGGGGAATGCACAAGCAACCAAAACCAAAAAATGCCCTCTGGAAGTGGAGCTTTGTGCATGTGATGGGAAGTGTTGGTGCAGATAAGGCCCTTGCTGCTTTCTTGCTCCATCTCTAAGCTGCCTGGTTAGGATGTATGGTGAGGGTAACAGTTCACTGCCTGGGGTAAAGAGAGGGATGGGCTTGTCCCATGCCAAGGGTTATGCTGCCAGCCTCTGTGCTGCTCCCTGTGTGTTGCTTTCTTCCTGCCTGGTGCAGAAGGGAAGCAGGTGCCAGCTTGACCTGAAGCTGGTACACAGTGAAGGACCTGAAGTGATGCTGATGATTAGCAGTGAGCAGAGCTGAGCTCCTATAGACAGCTGCCCAGGGGGGTTGCTAGCCCTAATAACTGGAAGGCAGCTGAAAGAGCCTTGCTTCAGGGATGTAATGATGATACAGCTCCTAAACCTTGTCTAATATAGGACTTCTTGATGCTGAAGAGGAGAAAGCATGCTTGAAAATCTGAGCAGGACCATGTGGCCTGTGGTAGGTTTGGAGTTGCCCATCAAGATGCCTGATGATGACTTTTTTTAGGGTAGGAGTATGTAAGGGAGACTGTTACTGGCTCAGTCTACACCAGAGGGGGAAGCATTGCCTTAAGATAAGCGTTAGCTGAGCCTGGCTTGCAGGAGATGCACTGGCTGTTCCGAAAGCAATCCTGCTTTTATGTTCAGCCATCTCCTCTGCAGCTGGGCTGTCTGAAAATTAATTAGCACCATATTACAACTGGCTGATGGGGTAGCTTGGAGCAGCCCCAGACTGACGGGATCCCTGAGAAAGCATTGCATTTCACTTCTCCTCCCTGCTCTGCTTTTCTTGTGCCTTAAGCTTTTGGTGCGAATACCTCCCCTCCCTCCCTTTCCTCTCGCAAATGTGGATAGGAAAATGGGTGGTGGAAATGCTGTAGCAGCATCTGGGGACCGTGTTGGATCTTGAGCTGCTGGACCTTAGAAGTGGCAGATGACAGGATTAGCTGTGCTGGGGTGGCAAGCGCTTCAGTCCTGCTGTGCCCTGGTGCTAGTGGTAAGGCAAACTGGCCTGGAGGAGCTTGCTGCTTTCCTGAGCTTCCTGGTCTGTGGATCTGAGCTTGCAACCTGTCCAGGTGATAAATCAACCCCCCTCTCTTTCTATGTGTTCTGATTTATAGCCTGATTTAGTTTTAATGTACCCCTCTTTTTCCTTGCTGGAAGAAGTGTTGCTTTCTGCAGATTGGGATTTGCTCTGCTTCCCACCAGCAGCAGGAGCCCCCTCTACAAACACTTGTCAAGACAGTAGTAAGGTTACAAGTGGCTCATGCTTACATAGTGTTTATATTGACAGATTGCAATGTTCTTCATAAATGTAACTGATCTGTACACTGCACGCAGGCAACAGGAACCCTTAAATGCTCGCGTGGGGGAGAGGGAGGGGAAGCATAGTTTGCCCTAATTTACCAACACATTACTATTGAGAGCAGGTTGCTTGCTGCACAGTGGGTTTTTTTTTGTTGTGGGAAGTGCAGTGTATTTTGGTTCACACTGGCAGGTGCAGAATAGGTACCCTGCTATGCTTTAGGTGCTGTTGGTGTAGGAACCCTGCAATTCAGGGTGTGATTTATTGCTAAAATTACTTGGAAAACACCTGAATACTGGACTTGAAGGGGTATTCAGGGGTTGAGGACTCTTGGGGAGGGTCAGTTAACGTGAGTTTCTGTGAGTGTGTGGCATCAGCTTGAATGTCATCTCCAATAAGAGCAAGCCCCCTGGCAGGCTGTGCTGCCTGTTTTCTCCAGCCTGTGGGCTACGCTAGGTGCTAACATGGCTGTTGCATATCATGCATTTCTGTACCTGTCACTTGATGGTAGTGTGGGGCCACGCACCCGCGGCTCCAACCAAAGCCGTGTGAACTTCCCAGGAAGCTGTTGCGTATCCAGGCCGCAGCGTGCTGGCTTTCCAGACGCGCCGGTCGTCTCTGGCGTGTGTGAGATGGAGCAGCTGGTTCTCAGCGCAACCCAAAAAAACAAAACCTGGGCTCGGGTGGCGAGGGAGGAATGCGGCACACAGGCAAACACAGCTGGAGTGTGAGAAGGCAGCTCCTGGGGCTGGGAGGGTGGCTTTGCCATCCTACTCGGTGGCATTCTGCCTTCTCTAGGCAGCGATGCTGGCTTTTAAGATGCTGGATTTCTGCTGTTCTTTGGAATAAGAAGGGTGTTCCTGGTGTAGTTTTTTTTCTTCCCATGAT